TCAATTAATTTACAAAGCCAACTGGCGCCGGGGTCAGGTCTAAGATCTAAAGACCGACAATACACTCCGCCTTCTTTGTCTGCACCCCTCGTTATAAACGAACAAAAGTTGCACCTGTTGATTTTTCACACCAGTGCTATCTTGGTAGGTACCGCCCCAAATTAGTGGTTACCACCTCTCAATTCGGACGAAGCAAGCTTCCCCAGACAGCGGAACTATTGTTACAATCGAGGCAGGGTCAGGGATAAAAACAGATTTCTGAGACAATGGTCGGAGGAAAAAGTTTATTTTTTAAATGAGTCTTATATAAAATGCCGAATCGTGAGCGAAACAGAAGCAGTAAACAGTATCACTGGGATCAAGTGACAGCAAGTTTTATCTGTTCATCGCACTTTCTGTTTTAAAGCTTTTTCTATTTGATATCTGCTTATGGCAATGACACTGTGTTGAAACTTGACTAATGCATGGAATAATAATACAACACAAAATGTACTTAGAACAAAATGTATTGAAACAAGAAAGTGTACACAATATTTACATATAGTCTTTTGTATATTCTTGGGAAGACCGTTCCTGGAGAATGTGTTGACTGAGTCACAGTCTGGCAGAGTCTCTGGTTGAATCTCTTGATTCCTCCCCTCGTCTTCCCGGTACCAACCATATTTATATAGTCGGTACTCTACTATGCAAATTAGGTGGATCCTACCACAACACACTGATACTATCGTAAATGTTGTGAATTCCGGGATGAAATCCGGTACCAATAAATAACAAACGCCAAGAATGAATATATGAAAATAATGTATTAACGTAATAATACAAACTGGTAAAGCAGGTTAGTAGTTCCAGGAATACGGGTTAGTCGCAAAATATCTATACAGTCTTTGGTATTGAAGTATCGCTGTATGACTTCTTACTGAGTCTACGTGCTCGCTCACTGTGACTCCTACAATGCTGTTACCTCACCCCTCACCCTTCCGGTTACCTACAACCTTTTACTCTGTCACTCTGGACTCGACTCTTCGGTCTTACTTCCTCGGGTCTTCCCGTAGCAGTAGTATATGTATGTACTGGGTGAGTTCATTTGTGTAAAAAGGAGTGGACCCCTCAACAATAAAAACGCAAGCTGTCGAATTAGTAAATACTAAACACTTCAAATACCCATACACTAAGTGTATGGATCAAATTCAGTATAGAAGACAAGTGAACACACAATAGGCCGTACTGGAGGTAGTTTTACCTAACGCCGCAAACTGCTACAAAGCCAAATATTGAAGTCATGTTCTTAAACAGCCTTGTCAGATAGAGACATTCATATGCATGTCATGCATGGCGACCAACTCGTTCAGAGATATCTAGACTGTCAGTCGTATGCAATCGCTTTCTCAGATTAATGATTTTAAATTAAGCCTGTAGGACTTGCCGAGAACAATCCTTCGAACCTGATGAACTGGCACTGTAAAATTGCAAACAATGAACGTTTGTAGTAGAGACTTTGTAATCGCAGACACAACTATAGTAACGCCGCTGAACAATCCTGGTGTCAGACGCCTTCGAATAGCTCTCGCACTAATAGTACTTGCTCGATAATACTCGATCGAATGTAACCACTGAATTGTGATCCGAATAGAGAAATAGTATAGTGAATAGTATAGAGATAGAGGATAGCGTAGAAACAGTGATTCATATATTAATAGAGGATAGTGTAGAAAGAGTGTATTGGTATAGTAATAGAGGATAATATAGAAAGAGTGACCCGTATAGTAATAGAGGATAGTGTAGAAAGAGTGACCCGTATAGTAATAGAGGATAGAACAGAAATGATGATCCGTATAATAATAGAGGATAGAATAGGAAAAGTTTATATAACAGACACATGGAAGTTGCATTACGACGGTGGAAAATGCTTGAATCCAATAAGATTGCAGATTGTTTTGTGATGTCAACGAACACTTGTTTGACACTTTTATGGTGTCAACGAATACTCGTTGTCACTTTCATAATGCTCGTTGTAGTAGAGACTTTGTAATCGCAGATGAAACTGTAGTACGCCGTTGAAGAATACTGGTGCCAGGCACCTTAGAATATCACTCGTACTAATAGCACTTGCTCGATAATACTCGCTCGGCTAGTAATCCGTATAGTGATCCGAATAGAGAAATAGTATAGTGAATAGAGTAGAGAATAGCGGTCCTTATAGTAATAGGAGATAGAATAGAAATAACAATCGGAATAATAAGAGAGGATAGAATAGTAATACAATCATTTAGGCATAACGCGACTTCCTATTTATGCGTTTCCTTTATGGTCACGTGTTCTACTTAATTTAATAATGGGATCGCCTATGTTTGCTCACCGACGATCTATGTTCAAACTCAAGTGTCGGTAGCGACAGTTTATTCCTATAAATTGTACCAAATAACAGAAGCCACATCATTTCAGGACTAAGACTAACAAAAGCAACAACTAAAAATGATATCACATGTAACTCGACGAGAAAATGATAATCTAGTAATGTCGAACGTTATGTTCGACATTACTAGAAACAAAAGGTTCGGAAGAAAGCTCCCCTCAGTTCTGGAAAGAATGACATCAGTTACTGGACTTGAGACATCTCAGTCCGTTAAGTCCCAAAGGCGCAACACGCTTAGGCGATCACGTCTTCTTCAATTCATAATTGACTGGGCAGAAGATTTTCCCGCAGTAGGTTACCAATTCTTTCTATGGTAGACTGGTTGCCGACCAAGTCTATAGAACCCAGTCTGTCCTGTTATTTAATCCATAGCTTGAGGGAGAAGAGATCTATTCATACCTTTCCCAGAGGTATTTTCGTGTGAGTATAACGAATTCAAACTAAACAATTCAATTCCACAGAAAAAAAAATGTTTTCATGGAAATATTTTATAAATTTCGACCGGCTGTAGAGCAGACTGATCGGTAAATAAATGACGAATGTTTCTTTATAAGGAAACAGGTAATATTACGATTATCATTAGTGATGAGGAGAACAGATAGTACACTTTGATTTTAATCCTATGAGCTGGGAGTGAAGAAAGGTATAATTCGAGTAGCACTGCCTGCACAGTCAATGAATACCGAATGTTTCCATATAAGGAAACGGCTAATATTACTACTGGTATTCTCCACTAACACAGCACGTTTATAAACTAGAAAATTTTAGAAAAAAAAAAATAACTCACAAGCAACACGCGGCTTTTTAACAATGTGCGGCTGGGGAAAATACGTTTGTTAAACGATTTTTTTTCTTCTTTTTTGTTACAATTAATACACCGTCAGTACTGTGGAGTATTTGAAAACTCTATACTAAGCTTTTTCATTAATTTTCTAATATTATTTTTCCTCCCGATCCAAGGCCTAAAAGCCGCTCAATTTGTATGAATCGATTCCGTGTATGTCGCACGGGGGAACGTAGCTGTGAAGGTATGAATTAATGGAACTCCGAGGAGCTGCATTCGCTGGTTCCCAGACGCCAAGAGTTCCAGCGCCTTACGAGGCTGGCATCCCGCTCTCACCCCTTCACTGTCGAAACTCCTAAATGTAGCCGTCTCTTCTACTCTAATAGCTTCATGTCTCGCACCTCTCGCCTGTGGAACTCCCTTCCCTATTTCTGTTTTCCTGTGAGCTATAATCTCCAGCTATTCAAGTGTAATGTCAATCGACATCTCCAGTTGCCTTGATCTATCCACTACCCTCATCCTCTCTTTTATCACTCCTATCTGATCTTGCTCTAAACTTTCTGCACCCCCCCCCGCGTCCTAGTGGCTTCCCGCCTTGCTTGGGGTGAAATGCCTAAAAAAATAAAGAAAAGAAAAAAAAACTAAAAAATGTAGCTCGTATGAACATCTCTTATGAAAAGAGAGACAGGCTAGCAAAGTTTCGTCTGTAAAAAAGGGGTTCTTGCGTGGAAAATAATTCATCACCCATAAGGACGCGTAGACGTTTTTGAAATTTGTCAAGGTTGGAAATTTATTATAGGGCAAATTCAATTATGGAAACAATTTTCCCTGTTTAATATTGGGTTCCCGGTTTCTTTTAAAGAATGCGTTTTAATGCCATTATCTCCTTGCTTGGGGTAAATTGATTAAAAAGACATACGCCATTTTGGTTTGAATTCACTTTTGTAAAAAAAAAAAAAAAATCGTGCATATCAGGAGACGTCAGGTACTTTCTTCGTATTCCACTGGTGGGAAGAAAGCGCTACTCAAGCAGCTTCTGTGGAACAGACACTCACGATCACTAAAACCTGTTCAAGTCTAGAGTAAACCATTATTTTTCTCACTTAAACTCTGCCTCTTGCACTGTAACCCTCTACCAAGAGTGGCTCCAGGGCCTTATACAAGGTGAAACTAACTGTGAAATATCGGTTTAATTATATGTTAATAAGTAAGAATATAGCTGTAGGTATTGCTGTGAATAAACTTGTAAATGTCCACCAATATTGCTAATGATATTGCAATAGAGATACTTTGAAAATAAATAAAGGGATTGTTAGTAGTCAGGAATTAATGCATGCATTACTGTCAAAATAGTATTATTTATTACATGACTGTTTTGACTGTCAAAATTTACGCAGTGTCTATGATTAATGATCGCATGATATCGGGCTTCATGTTACAGAACCAGTGAGACTTTGTTCGTTTTACATTAAAAAAAAAATGTTTTTTTTTTTCTTTTATTAATTTCTTCATTTTTCTATTTCGTTTTTTCCTTCTTTTCCTTTCATTTTTTCTTTTTTTCTGTTTTTCTTTCGACATATCTTTGCCATTTATTTCATTTTGCGTCTATTGTTTCATTGGTTTCAAACTCATTGTTTTATTTTGTTGTCTTAAATTTTATTTGTCTTTATTCTTTGTCTCTCATTTCATGACGCTTGATCTTTGCTTTTTTTTTTATCCTTTTCTTTTCGCTTCTCTCTTTCATTATTTCTGGATTTAATTAAAAAAAAAAAAAAACGAGAATAATTTGAAACACTATAATTGCTAAATCAAACATGCAGCTCGAACGGTAAAATTGAACTCTGAAATAGATAGATAGATAGATAGATAGATAGATAGATAGATAGATAGATAGATAGATAACGTACATAAAGAGATACGAAAAAAGAAAATAACGTGATATATATATATATAAAGAGAAAGAGAGAGAGAGAGAGAGTGATGATGAAGAAAGAAAAGCTGAGACAGACAGATGGAGAAAAGACAGAGATGGATAGATAGAAAGAGAGAGGAAAAGGGCAAAAAGAGATAGATAGATAGATAGATAGATAGATAGATAGATAGATAGATAGATAGATAGATAGAAATGATGAATAACGAAAAAACTGAGATAGATAGATGAGGAAAAGACAGAGATTGATAGAGAGACGAAAAGAAAAAAATATCTATAGATAGATAGATAGATAGATAGATAGATAGATAGATAGATAGAAAAACAGATGAAAGAATAAAATCTGAGATAGGTAGATAGAGAGAGAGGAAAAAGAAGAAAATAATGAGATAGAAATTACTGAGATAGATATATAGATAAATTGATAGATATGAACAAATCTTGTTTCATACGCTTAGACAAAGACGCGCGCGCACACAGACACATACACACAGAGAAACAGAGAGACACACGCACGCGTACACAGTTTAAATATTCATGATTTACTTCAACTTATATAATAAATGTACAATCTGAATTTCCCCTTATAAAATCTGTATTTTATAAATAAAAATATTTACAATAACTTCTTTTGTGTTATCCGATTTTCTTATACGAGGTGTTGTCATCATATCGCAAATAAAACATATGAATGTTTCTTGTCAGAAACTGTCTTGACTATCTATAAATCTACCATTCGCCTGTGCATTGAATATTTCTGTCATATCTGGTCTGGTGATCCTGCTATATATCTCGAAATTCTAGACAAAATCCAAAGAAAGGTCTGTAATGTTATCGGTCCTGACCTGGCATCTCGAATTCAGTCACTTTCACACCGCTGAGAAGAGTCTGTTCTTTCTATAAATAGTTTCATTGTTCAAATGAGCTCACTTCTTTGGATCGTCAACCGCAGGAATTTAAGTTTAATGGATAGCGCTTCGGATTGAGGAATCGGAGAGCCAAGTTCGAATTCCAGTCAAATCAATTACATTCACCTACGTGCTAATACCCCTGGGACAGGTATAAATCTTCTTCTTCTTCTCCCCCATCTCCGGCTATGGTTAACTAGCAGGACAGACCGAGTTCTACAGCCTTGGATGGCAACTGGTCTACCGCTGAAAGAAATGGCAACCTACTGCGCGAAAAAATATTCTTCGTCAGTCATGTATCGAAAGATACATGATCGCCTAAACGTGTATCACGCATGGCACATAACTGGGTGACTGACTTCTGAATCATATGTTCACCTTGTTTCTTAGTTGAGTCTGTAGTGATTTTTAGTGATGACACTATGTGGAGTCGCCATTAAAATGTAATTATGCTACAAACCTACAAGTTGGAAGACAGAAGGATTATCTTTCGATTACATTTTACGAAGAAATGCGAACGACAAATGCTTGAATTTGATTAAATTCGATATAATTTCTGTCTGTTACTAACAAGAGAAACTATCATTTTCCGATATACTATTTCGTAGTAGTGTTGGTTATCATGTCTCCAATGTTTAGGTGCCTGTAAATGATTCAGATGAGAGAATCCGTTCACATGCGAGACAAGATTTTAATAACCTATTTGAATGGCCAAACGCTGTAATGAAAACGACGTGAGAGTCTTCAACAAGAAAAAGTCATATCTGTTCGACTGAACAAAAGAAGGAAACATCATAAGAGATATATGAATCATCGAGAATGGTGAGGTCAATGGCTTAACCGTTGTCAAGATAAAAAATAATACATGAATGCATAATTAAGATTAAATATTTAAATTATAAAGTATAATCATTAATTGAATAGCAGTTCGAGTATCGATAAAAATGAATATACTGCAAACGGGGGTTAATTCGCTTTCTGTTAGACATTTGTATGAGTTACAAAATGTCTAGATTGGGAACTAAGATTTACTGCTGAAATACCTATTTGTAACCGTAAGTTCTATTCTAATAGATTCTTTTCTCGCACTCCTCACTTGTGGAACTCTCTTCCGGTGTGTTTCTTCCCCGACAACTACAATGTGCAAACATTTAATGCAAGATCAATCACCATCTTCTCTCTTACATCTGACAACTGTTCTGTGATTGTCCTTTCTCCTCATTAAAGTCATATTGTTTTTCTTTCCCTGTCAGCAAACTTTGGGCGTCCCAATGGTAATATCGTCTTACTTAAATTGAAATTATTGAAAATAATTATGCTTATTTTATAACTTCTGATAATTGCATGGAGAAAAGCTTAGAATAGAGAAAAAACAGAGATTTTTAAAACAAATCAAAGAGTAAAAAAACAGAAAAAACTATTCACATATATATATATATATATAATTCGAGTATTTTCCGTTGTTGTGTGTGTGTATATATATATATATATATATATATATATATATATATATATATATATATATTTTTAATTCTGCATTTATATATATAATATATACATATACATATATATATAATTCGTGTATATACTGTTGCATATATATATATAGAGATAGATAGATAGATAGATAGATAGATAGATAGATAGATAGATAGATAGATAATTCGAGTATTTACTGTTGTATATGTTGAGATGTGAAACTGTGAGTCATTAGCACGGTTGATTTATATTTCTAAACTCTCTCTCTCAGAACACTCACACGTGCGCGCACACACAAACACACACACACACATATATATATATAGATATAAGTAGTAATATCGTTGGTATAATCCAAGCAGGTCCTATTAACACAATATAGAGTTTTAAATATTAAATGTTAAAACTGAGTCAAAAATAGCGCACAATGTTTATTTTCATTAAAAACAAAATGGCCCTATATACAGTTTGAAAAATCTTGTGAAAATGATCATTCTCTAATGGCACCTTAATTTTAAATATATGAAATATATAATATATATATATATATATATATATATATATATATATATATATATAGGTGACTGAAAAATAACTCCGCATTTTAAAATACTATAACTATAATTTTTACAAGAAGTGGATATGAGAGGAAATCGTTTAGCTTGAAGTTTTATTTAAAATTCGATATGGCCACCAGATTTCGCTACCAAGAATCGCATCAGCTAATTTCACCAGGGAGATTTGTGGTATGGAAGACATTGCTTCTTGTATTCACCTCTTTAAGTTATTCGAAAATCTTGGTTTGCTATAGTTGACTTGCTTCTTTAACAAACCCCAGAGAAAAAAGTCGCAATAGGTTAAAACAGGACACCTGGCTGGCCACACATACATAAAATAGAGAGTTACTGTTCAATCACCCAGCATATATATATATATATATATATATATATATATATATATATATATAATTGTGTATTTGGGGCAGTAATTCCTCTTTTATACATGTTTCATTAAAGATGACTAACAAAGTATCGTGATTAAAGAAAAATTAAATAAAGCTCTTAATTGCAGTAAGTACCAAGTCTGTCGTCTTTAACGAAATATATACATAACAGGCGTAACAACAAAATTGTCCAATTGTTAGATTAAGTTGGAACTGTTGTATCTTAGAAAAAGATTTATTATTGGAATTCTCCGAGGTTTTTATAACACTGTTGGTCGTTACTTTGAACAATAAGAATGTATTTAGCTCTAAGTTGAACTGATGATTCCTCTTTCTGTTGTGGCCTCCTGATACAGTTTTCCACTCTAATGTTACCTCTTTATAAATCTTTATCACCTTTCTCTAGCTGGTTCTTTGAATGGGCTTTAAATAAATTACAGACATTATGTCTGCTAACTTTTAACAAAATCCGTTCATACTCACGAATATCATTCCGTGTATTGATATTAAATGGTGAGAGAAATGTGCTATAACTGTTTAAATTTCTTTTATTTTCATTTCCCGAGTACTTTCGATCTTCTACCAAGATCATCTTCAGGGGTGCAAGTGGTACAAAAATATATGTTGTTCATTAGTATAAGTATTTATATAAAGATGCGTTGTTGTTTTTCATTACCGTATTTTTTTCCTTATGTTTTTAAATGCAAAGCGGTTGACAATGAGCTAAGCGTTAATTAGAACGTGAAAGAATTTATTTTATATGAACGCACAACCTTTAAAAATTCAAAATCAAACTCAGCGTTGCTTCTGCGCGTTCCAAAAACAATAACTCATTTTCAATAGCATTTTCGGATACAACAATATATATATTTTCGTTGTCCTCTTATTACTAAGAGAAAAAACAAGAACAACATCTATTCTATACCTGAAGATGTCTGTAGAAACAGACGAAAGCTTGTAGTAAAAATAAGAACGAATACGGCAGAAATTTATATAAACAAGGATCATTTCATTCATAACGGATTCGGAGGTTTTTGTATATTATTTGAATTGTTTGCGATGATGGATGTCTCGCCATTTAAATCATTAACCTTTGCATTAGTTTTTTGTGTGAATAATTCATGTATATATATATATACACACACACACACACATATATATATATATATATATATATATATATATATATATATATATATATATAGTGCTGGTGTTAGTAAAAATGTGCTCGATGTGATGCAGTAGAGCTATTAAGTATATATTAATAAATATACATCTTATCCCTCACCCATAGCACGATTCGGTGTTTCATACACAACGTAATATATATATATATATTTATATATATATATATATATATATAAAGCAAACCTAGCCTACTTATGTGGAAACTTCGAAACACTGATGTAAGACGAAAACGCCTTCATATAAATATATTTATGAAAAGTGTCCCGTTATTGGTGTAATATATGTATATTTGCTTATCTTCAGGGAAATCAAAGTTGCATTATTGCCATTCCCCTTATCCCGTTGATAACAGAGATGGAAATAGAACGGAAGAATTCTAAGAAAAATAAAAGGAAGGAACCGTCCATTTGCATAGATGTCTTCATCTACATAAAAAAAATAATATAAAACAATTTTGGTCACATGAAGAATTTTTCTTGGACAGCAATCAATCCATGTACGTTCAAAGTGACTTGCATCTGTCTGCGAATACTGACTATTTTAGTATACTCCTGACTAATCAAATATACAGTGCTATTAACACATATATGTATAGAGAGTGGGTCGTCACAGTACTTATACAGTAAGTAATATTCCAGTATTACCATTACGATAATATTCAATATATGTTTTGTGCGTAAGTTATATATATATATATATATATATATATATATATATATATACAGAGTTTTCAGCAAAATATATACACGCTCCAAGAAATTTGTGATGTGTATCACAGAAAACCAACATTTGCGGCCTTAGGCAAGAAATTGAAAATGCATGTGCAGTAATCCCACTGGATGCTTTGGTCTACGCTGCCCAAGTAGTAGTTCGCGTACTAATAAATGTTTGAAAGATAAAGGCCACCATTTTGAGCATCCCTTGTGATTGCAGAATCCAAAGGTAACTTGTATTAAATTCTTGATGTCTGAATAAATTTAGTGTAACAATATCTATACAAGTTGTTTTTTTTATTTCTGAAGTATGTAAACATTGTTTGGGCAGAATCTGTATGTATATATATATATATATATATATATATAATAATTATTATTATTATTATTATTATTATAAAAGAAAGAACAGTAAATGTATAATCCTGTTTTCGTATTGATATTTTTATTTTTACAAAACAGTGCTCAGTGTAAATTTACTGAGCATAAATAATATCAATTAACAGATTTAAAATATGGTTTCTTCGCTACACAGGAATTACCATGTTTCAAAATATGAAGCTAAAAACTTCAAATTTAATTATATAATTAAATCAAAAGCATTAGTTCTGTTTCATTCTCAAGCGAATTTTGAGATAACTTATTTTTAATTTTACTGAGTTTTAAACGCACATATAAATTCATAATTTCCTGTTTCCAAGGATACAGAGAAATCCAATCATTCAGACAGGGGCGATAGCGTGTTCATTTTTATTAACTATTGCTGTATCAATTATGAGTTACGTTCGAAAAAGGGGTTAAGTTTAGGGAGGGTAGTGGTGCATTTTTCATCGAATTTTTGACATCCCTTCAACGCATGTCGTCTGGCTTTTTTTTTTATTAAAGGCAAAAAGTTTTTCGTCATTTTTTCTGTTAAATTGCTACTTGTATACTTAAATATTCTTTCTAAAAGGGGTGTTTGGGTTAGAATACGTTATATTGAACTACAATTTTAAAATATTATTATTATTAATAATTACTATTAAACTATATTTATTTTTAAATCAACTAAATGTAATAGAATTACTTAAATTATTTAAAAATTATTATTACATATCAATTATAAGTATGTATATTACAAGCTCTCATTTTTTAAAATTTTTAAAATTTTATTTTATTTTTAAATATTATTTAAGGAAAATTTTTGAAATGTCGGCAAAGAATAGCTATTTTATTTCTTTGATTCAGTAAATCTTTATTTTTTATGAACTTAGTAATATATAGTTTCTCATGTATGCACAAAGGACATGGGTCAATTAATGACATATATTCTAGCTTTTCTTATTAATTTCCATTTTACTGTAGGTGTTTATTGGTTTCTTTTAAGTGCCAGAAATATTTAGATAAAGACTTCTGATTTCGGTATTTATTTATTCTAAATAAAGTTTGATGTTGATTGAACCTCTTTTTGAAATCATGGCTAGTGCAACCTATATAGATTTTTATGTTTTCGGGAATTCACAATAGATGACCTATTGCATTGGTATACTAATGATTCCTTCAGTATCAGTCTATATTTCTGAGATGAGGTATTATGTACATTATTTACATTATACGGACTATCCATTATCTATTACAACGTTTCGGCCGCTGTACGCTCCGGCCTTCTTCAGGTGGTTGGAATGTCGAATTGAACCCTTTATTTCGCTCATTAGACTGTTCTAGTTCCACGTGCCATGTTTAATGGATGTCAGTTATCAGTTATCTCCTGTTAATTTCCCTCTGAAAGTTCTCCACTGCCTTAACCGGGTATTGAACTCACACTCAAATGCTTTTATCTACTGTGCCATGTGTCCTTGAGAACATCTGTGTATGAATTTCTGGCTATTATAAGCCTAATATCTTCAGCAACCATTTTTTACCAATGCTCATATTGTAATTTTTGCTGTTTTCATTGCATGTTTTACCAGAGCTCATATTGCAATTTTTTGTTGTTATTATCGCTTTTCTCTGGCATTCCTTATTACTGGTTCCCATATTGTATTCATTTCTATGCTTGGTCGGCTCAGGAGATTTTTGCGGCCTAGCGTATATGCTGGTTCCTTAAGTTAACGAATTTTCGTATGGTGATCTTTGTCTATGATGTCAACCTGATTCCACAGAGGGCGGTGATCTCCCTTCTCTCTCCATATGTGGTCAGCCACGCCTGATTTTTCCCCTTCCCCTCGTGTTACAGCTTTCTGGTGTTCTTGAAGCCTTACCTTAAGGGGGCGGCCTGTCTCCCCCTTTATATTTCTTTCCGCAGCTGCACGGGATAGCATACACAGTCTTTAGCCATGTTCTCCTCTATGGGGGGGGGTGTCTTACTCGGGATAAATATTTGCGAAGTGTTTTCCAGCTTTTGAAGGTTATCCTGATGCTATATGCACGCAGATTCTTTCTATTTTCTCTGATAACCCCTTCACATAAGGCAGGCAGACTTTTTTCTGAGTGTTGTTGTTCCTCCTCTTGTACCGCCTATCCCAGCTTTTTGGGGCTGTTACCCTCCCTAAACTTAACCTATTTTCGAACGTAACTCATAATAGATAAAACAATAGTTAATAAAAATGATCACGCTACCGCCCCTGTCTAAATGATTGGATTCCTCTGTATCCTTGGAAAAAAGAAATTATGAAATATACGTGCATTTAAAATTCAGTAAATTTAAAAATAAGTTATTCCAAAATTCCCTTGAGGATGAAACAGAAATAATGCTTTTGATTTAATTATATAATTAAATTTGAAGTTTTTAGCTTCGTATTTTGAAACATGGTAATTCCAGTGTAGCGAAGAAACCATATTTTAAATCAGTTAATCAGTTAATTTATAATATATATATATATATATATATATATATATATATATATATATATATATATTAAACAAATAATTGTTTAATTTTTTATTGAATGTTTCTAGTTATCGAATAAGGTGATAAGTCGTTAAACATAACGTCACACTAGACAATTTCAAACGTCCAATTTCCCAACGAATAACAGGGTGAAGCCAAAGGAATCCTAACTCCTACACAAATCCTACCTCGGTTCTTGGTAATGAGTGCGAAAATCGAAAGCATTCTAAGAAAAAATAACCAAATAGGAACTTCTGATTGTTCACCCTCAACTTTAACCAAAATACTCGGCAACTTATCCGAAAATAGGAAAAATACAATCAAAATTATACAGGCAGACATTACCAGTTCTTCGTAAGGATGGTATTTTCCTAAATATACAGGATTCATTCACACACACACACACACACACACACACACACACACACACAGATATATATATATATATATATATATTATTTTTTCAAAATTATCAGGATATTACGAAATTTGATTACATCTATACCAACCTTGTAGAATGAATGTCTTGATGGAGAAATTGAACTTTTGTCTAGTTTTCGTTTGTTTTTTTTATTTTTTTTTATCTTTTTAACATGAATCTTTTAACAATCCTTCTGTTGGTCAAACAGTCTCTTTTAAGTTGTTATTTGAGATAAGAGCTGGATAGATACATGTTGCTCTGAATTCTCTGGTCAGTTTGACAGTTTTATTGGACCTGGTGAGGGGATGTGTCTCTGTTTAGTGTTTGTGTGTGTGTTACTTGGTTCTTAGGGAGTGAATGAGTATGATATGTGTAAGTGTGTGTATTGGTGTTGGTGTTTGTTATCATTTGGCTCATTAGGAAGTGAGTGAGTATGATGTGTGTAAGTGTGTATATTCGTGTGGGTGTGTGTATAAGTGTGAGGCCTCTACACCTCCGTAATCATGTCTGTCTTGTGTGGGTGAGAAGTGTGGGTAGGTTTTGATTTGTTGAGTTATATATTGATACTATCTATATATTGTTAAATTTATGGTTTAGCCCTGCTGGATATTTTGTTTTTAGACGTTGTATCCACTTATTTTCATGGGACTCTAAAATCTTTCTAATGTTATCTGCTCTGAACTTTTCTATTCTCTCTATAGCTTAGTACTTTAATTCAGTTTAATTCAAATAAGTATATTGAAGTTTTTGGCTCTTGTTTTGAAACATGAGAACACTTATGTTGGGTTGGAATCATATTTTTAAATAAATAATTATATTATATATATATATATATATATATATATATATATATATATATATATATATATATATATATAATACATAAAAGGTTAATGGTTAGAGTTGAATCAGACCATGAAACAGTAGTATGTGAAAAAAAAAAAAAAAAAAAAAAAGAAATGTAGAGCTATTAACTTTATAAATCAAGTATCCTCAGGCGTTTTTTATTATCAGATTACCTCTTAACGCTTTTTTTAAAATACTAATGAGCGCTATATTATTTTTTTTTCAATAAATAAACAAACGCACGACGTTGGGTGTAATAGAAAGGAAGAGAAAATTTGAAGCAAAAAGGCTTGTCCTGGCTTACATATTAAGAAATCCCTCTTAAGCACATATGAGTCTGGGTAAAAAAAAAATGTAAATTTCAATTACACCCTACCACTACCGATACATTTATAAAAACATTGCTCTTCTTCTTCTTCTTCTTCTTCTTCTTCACATCCTCCTCCTCCGTCTATTTCTTTCTCTCTGTCTGTCTCTCTCTCTCTCTGTGTCTTTCTATCTATCTATCTATCTATCTATCTATCTATCTATCTATCTCTCTCTCTGTATATATATATATATATATATATATATATA